AGCACCCTACGAGCACTAGGAGATGAACACAACGTGCAAAAATGAAACTGAAACAAGAAGATCCTGCTGCTCATGAAAAGTTTCCCCAAATCCTCACATGTGGATGATGGACTGGTGGAACATCAGTGATTTCTCACTCCACGGACATGAGCTGCTGGAGAAGATAGATCCGTGTCTGCCTGTGATATTGGTGCCCTCAAAGCTAGTGCTCTCAGTGACAGCCTGTCTTCCTTTTCAAAATATGCATGCTACCTAACAAGCTACCTGTAGCCTAGAATAAATAAGGTCACTAAAAAGGGACACCTATGGGTAGACAAGTCAATTGACTGGCATGATAAATTGCCTCTGTATGGACTAACTATTGCACTGTGAAAAATTACTGCACCATAGCAGCATCCAGTAGCCACTATAAGCCATTCAGCTGGACATAATCACACTATAAATTGTTCTGTCCCAGCTATGGCCTGCCAGTCTGATAATATCAGCTACATTATCTGCAAACAGACTTTGCTGCTGCTGCCCTGTAAACAGTGTGTGTATCTTACAATGAGGTCAGCTATTCTGTCACCTGGACATAAAGGCTGTATGACTTCTTCTATTTATTATCCTGACGTGTCCCTGGTAACAAACGTTTTTCATGCATCTTATAGCACTACAGAAGTTATACCATTATACCATGAAGCTACCCCATTAAGCTTTAAGGTTACATTTGAAACTGATACATGCCTTTTGATAAATTCTGACTACATTGTGGATGAACATTTTGCCATGGTCAACTAATCTGAAACCAGCTGGTGATGAGAACTAGCTAGTTATACCAAATAAAGATATCCCTCCCGTTGTGATGTGGAATGTCTAGCCAGTGTGTAGCCTTTGGCCGTTACTAACTCCGTGCTCGCTGTGTACCTCAGTGCCCTCTGGCTGTCACACACTGAACAATCCATTACTCAAAGCTGCTGATTTCACACTGAAAGGAAACACTCAAAGTCTTTTTCTCAGTTTCTCAGTCTTTCTAATGAATGAATTAAGGATGCAGAGACTTTGTCAAAATTGTGAATTTGGCAAACAGTGAGATAGAGTGACGGGTTATATTCTGACTGATTTCACATTTGGAATTTCCCCTGTGTTGGGGGTCTAACCATTTCATGTTCTTTTTCTAGCTCAATGAATTTCCCAGCACTCTATGAAAACACTATAGCCTTAATGAAAGACTGGAGAATTTCCCCCCCACCACAAGACACAGGTTAGCAAAATGGATCATAATTCAGATTCTTCGGAAGCAACTACTAGTAAAACGTAATAATAATCCAGTTTTTCTTAATAACGTAATAACATTATGTAGGTGTCTATAATGTTTTATATATGAGGGTTTCATAGAGCATTCATAATGCATTATACATGGCTATAATGTGTTATGCCTTTTTATAAATGGTTATAGCCATGGTTCTAATACTTTATGAATGCATTATAATGCATTATGAGGGCATGTGTGATGCATTATAAAAGGGGACTTCATAGAAAGTGTTACCGTATACCTTAACATAACATAGCAAACATTATACGATAATACAATTATAAATGTTTATTATCATAAAATGTTTGTTGTTAATGTATATTAAAGCTGGGGATGTATGTTTGGATGTTAAAGGGGCAGTTTCCCCAAAAACTGAAAAAAATATGTGTTTTAGTGAGGCTTTAGTGCACAATGTGCATATCACCGAGCAGAAGATACAAGCATGAGCAGCCCCGTAATTTCATCTGTGCAGTGATATGATCGGGGGGTGGAATCCAGTAGTAGTTGCTCACTACAAAGTCTGTGATTTATCTTGAGTAACCAGATCATTATTTCTGGTAAGAGACATTGCTGCTGGACATTTTTCAAATGTATTTTTTGGCACTTCAAACGCTACAGAAGGAACGTCATTCACTCCCATTATATTTGAGAGAAGCCTGAATTTCTACGGCTGATATCTCCAAAAACTAGGCAACTCCCAGCATAACAATCTAGATGGATAGACAGCACTAAAGCCCCCGTAAACCACGGATCACCAACATGGTGCCCATAGGCACCAGGATGCCCCCAAGGACCACATGAGTCGCCCGCAGACCTGTTCTAAAAATAGCACAACTCACCAGTGAGCAGCGTCTAAAATAGTTGCTAATAAAATCGTAAACGTGATCAGTGTCTTCACATAGATGAGTATCAATCATTAATAATAATATATAACTAAAGGTAAACTGAGCAGATTTGCTATTTAAGAAGAGTGTATCAAACTGGTAGCCCTTCGTATGGCTCAGTACCTGTGAAGTAGCTCTCAGTTTCAAAAAGGTTGGTGACCCCTGCCGTAAAACGTAACCTTTTCAGCTTTGGGGTGAACTGGCCCTTTAAGCTATACTTACAGTACATGCTGTCTATGAATGTTCTCTGAATGCATGATGAATGCATTATACAGTTAATGTAAAGCGTTACCAAATAAAGTATATTTTCAACAATTACCAACAACCGTTCCTCCTGTGTTTTCTAACATAATATGCTACCATTACAATGAAACGCATGGTAAGACCTTTGACGTTTGGATAAAGGGGAATTGGTGTATTAAAATCAGTGGATGCTGAAAGCCATTAACTAACAGAAAGTATCAAAATGAAACAGCTCACAAAAATAAATAAATCTTATTACTAGTATGTCAGCCTTTAAACAGAGGTCTGGGGAAACTATGGGGGTGAATGGGAGGGGGGGGGGGTAAGCAGGATCTCATCTAGGGTACCAGAACAGCCAGGACCAGTCCGTTACGGGTGAATCTGGAGCTGGACTAGGCCTCTCTATATGTTCTGTGCGTTCAGATGCCAGTCCACGACCTAAATGAGGGACCTCTGCAGGGGATACAGCAGGTGAAGTTTCAGAGAATCTATGAGAAATTACTCAGCTTGGCATCACCCGCTTCAGAATCCGCACAAACGTTATTCCAATCTGCACTTTCCGTCGGCGAATTCCCCAATAAGCCTCACGTAAACTTTGCGCAGGGTAGCGAAACCCTGGACCTGGTTTTCCCAGGCAAAATAGAAAAAGACCACGATGAAAGAGTCCCTTTAAATAATACTGCATGAAACATGACACCGACAAAATGTGGAAATTGATTTATTGAATAACAATTCTTCTCTAAAAATGGAGGAGATGCATCATGTCCGTTTGCTATGGACGTACGTCTGCACTCTCATGGGTTGCCTTTTCCTCATGCTTCCTGATAGTTCAGCTCCAGCCCCCAGCTCCCCAGCCCCATCAACAGCATGTCCGCTTCACATCACCGTGTTCACATCACCGTATTCACATCGCTCTGTTCACATATACCAGAAAGCCCAGAGGAAGGCCACCCCACTGCTCCTCATTTTCACTCACATAACGCTTCCATGCTTCTCCGTACCTTTGCAGTTAGCCTCCCCAGGGAGCTTGTTATGTTTTCCTGTATGACTTTTACCCCCCCCCCCTAAATTTTGTTCTAGTCTTTTCTACCTACTCCGACTGCCCAAACTGTATTATATTACTCACTGCTATATGTATAGGCTAATGAACTCTGCTTGTCATGTTACTTGATCCTTTGCCAAATACATAGTGGAGACGGCTTTGTTGTATTTCAGGAAAGGTGCAGTATAAAAATAAATTTAATATAATTAAACTGAAGGGCGTTTGGTTTTTTCTTCCCCTGTCAAACTATCTCCTTTATTTTTGTGTTTGTGTCACATCGACCCCATCCTGGTCGAACACTCATCTTCCTAGACTGCAAAATGACACTGCAGCATCCAGTGCACTCCACTTCATGACACTCGATTGGTGCACAGCAATTAGCTACAACAACCGGATACATAAATAGCGGGCTAATTGCTTGATTTATCCATGAGTTACAGCAGTTTGATGTCCTGTTCATGGAGATAATGGTATTATTCAATTAGAATCCTGGGGAAATGCTATTTGCACCTCTTTGACTGTTACCATTTCGCACTGTTCCACAAATACTGTAGGTATATTTCTAGTATTCCTTTGTATATTGTGCATTTCAGCACTTGCCCTTGTGTGTCTCTCTATTTATTGTCCTTTCCTTTGCATATTGTATAGGCTGTACTGCTGGCTAGCTGAAGTGCTGCTGAATGACATTTCATTGCTCTTTGCAGTGACAATAAAGACTCGTCTATTTATATAGCTACCTACAGGCAGTTCCCCGGTTATAAAGAAGATCTGTTCCCTAAGTCTGTCTTTAAGTCGAATCTGTAGGTAATTTGGAAAAATCATAATATAGTACATGGATGGATGGATGGATGGATGGATAATGGAATATAGTACATAATAATAATTATTATAATGCAGTAATAATAAAAGTGACTGCATATGGTACAGTATTGTACCTCGAGCCAATGAACCGCTGTAGCCACTTAAAGTACTATGTGACTATGTCCATTATCACGGGCCACTGAATTTAACTTGAATTTGTTATACAATAGGCTTCATAAGTCAGTTCATAAGTATGAGTCGTCCATTAGTTGGATGTTCTTAACCCATCCATCCATCCATCCATCTTAAAAGTGATGTATAATTAGAAAAAAACTGTACTGTACCCAGACATTGTGGCACAAAGTAAGAACAATATACATGAAATTAGCTTTTTGGAAGAAACAACTGTGAGTGCACTGCAGCTGTTAAGTCAGACACTGTATGTGACAGTGGCCCTCCACCCTCCATCAGAGACACCACTGCACCATCCTGAGATCAGCACCAGCAGGAACAATGCTGCACCAACATTAACACACAGCCCCTCTATACGTGGCCGTATGGGCACCGGATGCACCAGAATAAGCCGTATGACCCAAATCTGGCTTACCTTCCAGACCGAGTGCCACCCCCACCCCCCCACAGAGCTACAGTGGCAGGTAGCCCATTTAACAGTACTGGGCGGCTCTGCCTCTGCTGGACCGCTGGATTGGGAAAATGAAGGACGGTGCTGACTCACCAGAATCGGAGCTGGCCGACGCCACAGGCATGATACCGTCCTCGTGATCCCAATTTCTGCAGGAAAACTAAACGGCTGTAAGGAAAAAGACACAGATGTTATAATGTTTAGGTGAACTTCTGCTCCAACAGGATAAGCATACATTAATGACAGGTACATTAGTGATGCGCAGGTCGGGTATTTTTCCAACCCGCGGGTCCCGCTTTTATGAAATTATTTGGCCCGCCCCAGCCCGCCCCGCAAATAAAGTGACAATTTCTTTAGCCGCCCCAACCCGACCCGCGGGGTCCGCGGGTTACGAGATGACCCGCGCATCACTACTGCTTGGCGCTTTCGTGACTTGTCACGTGACGTAACCTTATCAAAGAACTTAATAAAATATGAAAATAGATATTCCCAAATATTTTATATAGGCTATAGGGAATTGCACGCAACATACATGGATTTTTTATTTAATTTTGTTTTTAATGACCCGCCACAACCCGCCCCGCAAATAAAGTGACAATTTCTTTACCCGCCCCAACCCGGGGTCCGCGGGTTACGAGACGACCCGCGCATCACTAAGGTACATCACCCATGACTGATAGCTGGGCGTATTTGTTTTAATGTAAATACTGTGTGCGGACAAGTGACTGAATTTTTTTTTTCCACATATCAGGAATGTTGCTTCAAGCTAATAAAACTGGAAAAATAAATTAAAAAAAACTATATGACAAAATACTGATGAAATTTATTTCACTTTGCTGAACTCAGACAAGAGCGCCCCTGAAACATCTTTATAATGATTTATGTAAAATGCTGGTTTTACTGTTGAAAACTGGAAATGTATTGTCTGAATAAATTTCTTTGCTAAAGAATGGATTACCTTAGTGGTTTCTGCCTTGAATTTTTGGAAAACTAAACGGCTATATCTTACTTTCACGGCACCTAATTTTCTTAATGATCTTTAGACAGTCCAGACATTACATGCCTTTGCTGTCTGTTGCTAAGCGCAGACTGTTCAGCCTTTCAACAGCTAAAAATGGTTCCATATAACATTCAGATCCCAGATCTCTCTCTGTATCTTAATTGCCTTATAAATCCTCACTGTTAGGCCAAGTAGCAGAACTCAGAAGGAAGCCAAGGAAACCTGAGACACACTCCTTTGCAAGGCCTGTAGATGTTAGATTAATTATCTGGAAGCTAAGTCACCTCCCTAGCCGACTCCATGGCAAATCCCTGGCAAGAGCTTCTGGTTTCTCTCCAAATGTCCATATGTGTTCTACTTGAGACATTGCGTAACATCCCCGCGTGATGTGCTACCCAATAAAACCTCGTCTTGTTTTCTAAGGTCACACAATTTATCTGTCCTTCAACGAACATCACTGCTTGGGTGATTTGGAATCAGGGCGAACAGAAGAAACCTCTGTTCACCTTTTAACTGCCATTCACAATTCTACAGTCAGCCCTGCATGTGGGAACTGGGATGTGGACCAGCAGATAGCCCCAGGACTTCTCAGATAGTCATGCCAAAGGACTTCTGAATATCAGGGCGCTTCCCTCCAAGACAGATACACCTAGGCTCCCATTACATACTGCATGACCCTTAATAACCACCACCATTAATCTGCTTAATATACTTTTTTATAATGACGTTTACTATCACCCTGTTGGTTCTCTCTTTTGTGTATTTTAGCTTGGGTTATTTGCCGCTTATATGCTATTTCCATATGAATTTAAATTCAAAAAGCAACAGCTATGTACTGCTGGATGTCATCCATGCAGCACTGAACACAGAGAGATTAGTTATCAGCACAAATATAGTTGCTAAACACAACAGAAGTGCGGCCTCAACAATGACCACAAAAGTGAAGCAGCACCTCCGTGAACCAGTCTCAAGAAAAATTGTACATCTTGAGCTTCACAAAGCTGGAAGTTATAGCAGGACTTCAGTTCAGAACTTGTGTCAAAGGCCACTGCAATGGAGACACACAACCCGGTGTAAGGAGCACCATCTAATGGTACTGATAACATCTGATGTTTCCATAATCCAAAATAAAAATTGTTATATACACTCTCTAAACATATACAAGAGAGAATGTGCGCATTATTTTTTCAGGTGTTCCCTAGACACAGGAAAACCGCAGGTCTTCCCAGAATGCCCTGGCAAAGGGCCAACTTCTGCACAATGTCCCCTGCCTACAAATCAAGGGTGACCTTGGACCTAACACCAGCTGTCAGTGTATAATAAAGGATGCAGAAGTTTCTCTTCTGAGACTATCAGCTGCCCGCTGAGCCAAACGTCTCTCAGACACGCACCGTAATTAAACATCGAAGTCCATGTTTCCTGATTCTTGAGCCTGAAAATCCTAACCGTCCAGTTCTCCTAATAACAGCTACAGTGTCATCCTCAGCTTTGGTAGTACTTTGCTGAATATCATTTACATTTTTTAATTGCTTCTTTTTCCTTTGTTTGCTGGTGCTTTATCTAAAGTGGCTTGACCCACTGATACTGGAGGGTGTTTTACCACACTGGGGACCTGTGCATGATTCCCACTGTGCCACATTAGCCACCTGTGGAGAGGTGAGGAGAGAGTAAGCTGGGTCTGCTGTCTAGGCATCTGGGTATCTGGGCTCTGGGTGGAATCAAGCGAATGATGCTCAGCTCTGAGCATGTGACATCACTGGGTGAAGCGTGCAGCATTTAGAAGAGAATGCACACCAAAGGAGGTGTGGCCCGATCTTTAACATGAGTACCGTATGCTACCGTATGATGGGAATAAGGAATTCTGGGGTGAAATAGGGGAAAAGCACTTTGGTGAAGGTTTCTGAAGCAACACCACTGCTGAGATGCTTTGGGTTCCATCCTCCCAACCATCTACCTCCCAACAAGAGTATGACCGCCCTTTGCACTCAACTTGCTCCTCACATGACTGCAGAATGTGTTTTAGATGCAAACAGCAACCAGTTTTAAAGGCATATTCAAAAAAAAAGACAACAAAAGGGACAGTCAGATAATCATCATGATCCTAAAAATGAAGATAAATGCTTTGCAGAGAATCACCCAGGCCCAGTCCCAAAGTAAGGGAGACCTTCAGTCTAGAGTCTCTCCTTCAGAGCTTCAACATGGAGCCCCGTGACTCTTCACTACCCAGCTGAACCCCAGCCTCTGAATTCCAGTGGTCAACAGCAATGTTTGTTTTGTTGCAAGTACTCACTCTGTTGTCACCCAGCAGCCAACCATAGGTGACCGTGACTCACAGTGCTTGCAATGGGCGCGAATCGACATCAACACAGAAAGCCGGGAGTAAGACCTGCCAAGCTTCCTGGGGACTGGGACAATCAACGACCACTGCGATTACCTGGATCCCAGCAGATACTCCTTTCACACACAGGGATCCAGAGCTGATGTCATTTCAGCTCAGCGGAACCTGCAATTTGTTACCTCCACATCAGGCCTCTTCCAGAAATCTCTCATTCACACAGAGATATGAACAGACCACTACAGCGACCTTCCTGTTAGTAGCTGGCGAGCCTGGAGAACTCCAGTGCAGGATTAGGCTCAGTTGTGTTTGTCTCACTGTGATGGCTGGAGTCAGAGTATCTCAGTGCTCAAAGTTAGACATGCTATGAGTGATTCATTCATAGGAGATACGGCGACTGTCTTTCACAGAAAACAAACACCCAGGTCAGTAAACTGTAAAGATAAACCCCAACCTCCCTAGAAATCATCCCAAATTCAGGAACATGAGTAACATAACTTGTTCATGTTTACATTGCATTAAGGCATGTCTGCCATATCAAGACATGCACTGGGCCATAAGTGCTGGGTGACTTGTTTGCAGTTACTACACAAAAAAAAAGCTAATTCTCCTGGTCTTCCCACATAGACTGAGCTATCTTCTGGGAGAATCTCAGGCAGCTGAACACAAGAGCAGGATTTTACTGCAAAGTCAAATCTGGAAGTTCACAAGAACCTGTGGCAGACCTGGAAATCAAAGGGATTCAACACACACGTTCAGATAGGTTCACAAAGGCAAGGTGTCCACACCAGAGAAGCCAGGCAGCTAGATCCTTCAGTGACATGTCCATGAAATTTTTTTGTTACTTTCAGAACCTGAGAGAATTAAAGAATATTAAAAGCAAAATTTGCACAGTAAAAACTGAAATTTGTATTTTAACTGAAATTAAACTTCTTCCTCAATTTTTAGCTTAATAATTAATTTTTCCTTTTTCTGCCAGCGATTTCCAACCAAAATGCCAAACTGAAAAAAAGCCACGAACAAACAAAACAATCAAAACCAACACTGAACATCTGACTAATCCAGAAATTAACGTGAATATTAGAGCAATATGAATGATTAGAACAGTTACGTTTTATTCTTTCCGTCCAATTCTTGTGGCGCAATGAGCAGTCACTGCGGCACGTCTGAGGACTTTACATAACAAGCTTATCTTGTTAAAATGAAGCTGCATGGCACTTCCTCAGCTGGGATGTAATCATGGAGATATCAAGCGTGTCGTTACTGTGCTGCACCCCGGCAGACGCACTGGGAGCCGAGACCTCGGCCGGCACACCTGCTGCTCCTCCTGGGGGTCCCTACTGATCACCCCACGGTACTAAAGCCCAGTGGTTTCACACCAGCCATCAGAGCGAGACATTCCCCCGGTGGCTGGCAGACAGACCCGCACCAGAGACACCGCAATCACCAGCTTACCTGACCATAGGTGGTGCTGCAAGCCTATTATCATCCACCTTTGATTCATGACTCCTGGTGACCCAAAGCCACAGTAATCTACCAAAATTTGGCATTTCATTGCATTTGCATTTGGGGTCCAGGAAATTAAACATACTCCTTAAACACATGCTGCTCAACATATGCAGCTGAAAGCTGATTTAAAACACCTATATTTTATTTTTAAGGGCATGTTTGTTTAAATGGTGAGAAAAGCTGGCAGATATTTACGCTATTAACATACACCGATCAGCCATAACAAAACCTCCTGAGTAATACTGTACAGCTCCCCCCTCAAGCTAACAAAACAGCTATGATCCGTCAAGGCATGGACTCCTCTGAAGGTGTCCTGTGGTATCT